TTTTCTTATGTTGATATAATTATATTCTTTTAATATGTTTTTGCTTACTTTTCTAATGCATGCTAAGCATATAGTAAATGCTATTTGGATAAATGGCTAGGTGATCGGGATAGGGTTGAAGGAAGAGAAAGGTATAGCTGTTAAATAAGATTTTGTTTAATTAGGATTATAAAAATAGTACAAATAAAGTTAACTCCTGTAGAAGTACAGAGGGACAATCAGACTAGATATGATTTGGTATAGTTGTTATTATTTGCTGTTGTGTCTGTCCAACTCATGGTGTACAGCAGAGTGAAATATGGCCAGTTTCTACATCATCTTCACAATTGTTGGTAGCTCTTGACCATTGCTGAGGCCACTGTGTATTTTGAGTGTCGCCCAACTCTGAGAACTCATCTTCCAGCACTGTATCAGATAATATTCTGTTGTCATTGGTAAGCTTTTCATCATTAACTTCTTTTCGGAAGTATGTCATCAGGTCTTTCCTCCTAGTCTGCTTTTATTCTGAACACTGCTGAAACCTGCAGTGTGGATGGTTCTGCTGATATTTGAAATATCAGTGGTATACTTTCAGCATCATAGCAGCATATAAACCACCACACTATGACAAGTCGATAGACTAGAAGTGTAATTAGGAGAGGATTCATAGAGTAGGTCATATTTAAGCATCTCCTTGGAAAATGGTGTGCTGTTTTGAGATGTGTAAACTGACTGCACTGTACATACTTGCAAAAGAATTAATACAACCAAAATAGTGAACAGGGAGGGAAAAGATGTGTTTAGATATAGTGAATGTTGCTATTTAGTTGGAATGTAGCATATTTTAAAGAATAATGAGATAAAGCCAGAAAGGTGTAATACGTGTATGCAGTGCTTAATGTCCACATTATGTCCTGTGATATAGGACTTTATGTGATTTGGATGTTGTGTGAGCACCATATTATATAGTCCAGAGATAAATCCCTGTAAGATTATTGTATTAAAGCCTTATGAACCCACTGGACAGATCCCAAGAACTATATCCATTAGATACAGAAGGCCAACTTCGCTGGTGTGTGGTTGGGCTGGGCAGGGGCAGTGCTGGGGACTTTTCACATGTAGAGGGAGGGGGTGATGAAGTGGTACAGGTTGGGGTAATACAGAGGGGACTGAGGGTTAATGCAGAGAGAGAGTTGCAAGGACAATACACAGAGCAGGTTTGTGGGGTGAAGCTGACATTGATGATCCTCGCTACCACTGCTCTATTGGTGCAGCCACTTCCTCATCAAGTACAGCTGCCACTGCCACCACCCAGAGATAGGAGCCAGCAAACATCCTGGGCCAGCAGGTACCATGGGCATAAATTAAGGTACATGTTCTGTACCAGGAATGAAAGACTGTACAGCTCCTGGGTGAATACATGAGCCAGGAGGAGGGGAAGGAGGGGAAAGATGGTGGAGTAGGAGGTGCTTTGGCAATTGGGATGTGCTCTGAGGTGCCTCTGCTCATTCATCCTGGGAGTTTGAGAACTTTAAAACACATAACTGGAATCAGTTTATTGGTTTTTTTCTGGAAGTTTTTCAGAAAGTTGAGTTTTTCAACTTCAGAGAATGCCTATGGCGCCTTTTTATCTTCAGATCAGCTGTGGCTAATTGAGCCTGACATCCAAGCTCTCTGACAATGATTTCTATCTCTCACGCACTTCTGTAGTACCTGAATGGTACGAATGATTCAGTGCTTGACTGCTAAACCAAAGTACTGGCTGTTTGAATCCACCTAAAGAGAGGTCCTTTGGAGGAAAGACCTATTGATCTGCTTCTAAAAATGAATGCTTATAATAAAAAAGATGAACAGTAATAAGTGTTGGCAAGGGTATGGATTAATTGGAATTCTCATACATTGCTGATGGAAATATAAAATGGAACAGTCCTTATGCTAACAGAGAGGTACCATATCAGTCAAACCCACTGCGATCAAGTCAGTCCTGACCTGTAGGACCCTTGTAGGATGGATTAACTTGTCCCTGTGGTTTCCAGTGCTGTGCATCTTTACAGAGGCACACTGCCCCATCCTTTTCCTGCAGAGTAGCTGATGAGTTTGAGCTGCCATTCTTTAGGTTAGCAGTCCAGTTCTTTAGCCATTGTGGCACCAGGATCCAAAAAGTTACTTTGTTTTTTTGTTAGGTGCCGTCTACTTGGCTCTCACTCATGACGTCCTTATGTATGATAGATAGAACCACCTGCCTGATCTGCACCCTCCTCACAATCTCTGCTGTGCTTACATCATCTCGTTGGAGGTTTCCTCTCCACTTCTGACACCACCTACCTTTCTAACCATGATGTCCTGTTCCAAAGATTAGTCACTTCTTGTAACATGTCCAATTATGTGAGAGAAAGTTAACCAATGACCATATGGTACAATGACTTTGTCTATTCCTACCACCTTCTTTTGATGCTTCCTGTATCATTCATGACTTTGCCCATAGAATCCTTCAGTATTGCATTTAGAGGATTGAATTTGTTCTTCAGTTCTTTCAGCTTGAGAAATTCAGAGCATATTCTTCCTTTTTGATTTTCTAACTCTAGATATTTGCACATTTCACAATCATATTTTCCTTTGTCTTCTTGTTCTGTTCTTTGAAATAATCCTGTTCAGCTTTTCTTCTTAATCATTTCTTCCCTTTATTTGGAGCTCTGGTGACCTAGTGGGTAAGAAATTACACTGCCAACCCAAAGGAAAGTTTAATTCATTGAGTGTGTCATGTGCAGGCTAGACTTTATGAGGAGGAATGTGGCAGCAGAATTGGAGGACAAGTCATCAACAACCTGCATTATGCAGATGATATACCTTACTTGGTGAAACTGAGGAGAGCCTGAAGCATTTGCTGTAGAAGTTCAAGAACTGTAGTCTGCAATACAGATTGAAACTCAACATCAAGTAAACAAAGATTCTCAGAACTGGGCCAATTGATAGCACCATGATAGATGGAGAAGAGATTGAGATTTTGAATAATTTCAGTTTGTTCTGTTACCCAATCAGCACTCTTGGAACTAGCAGTCAGGAAATCAAAAGACTAATTCACTGGGAAAATCTACTGTCAAGGGCTTCTCCAGAGTGCTGAAGAGCAACTAAGGTGCGCCTGATCCAAGTTATGTTCTTCACAAATACTTGCTATGCATCAGAGAGCAGGAGAATGACCAAAGATGACAAAAGAAGATTGATGAATTTGAGTTGTGATGCTGAAGAAGAGTATTGAACATACCATAGACTACTTAAAAACAAACAGCTTTGTCTTGGAGAGGGTGAAACCAAAATGCTTCTTGGAGGCAAGGATTTTGAGGTCTTCACATATGTTGGGCATGCTGCCAGGAAGGACCAGTCATTGGAGGAGAATATCATGCTTGGAAGGGTAGAGGGTACAGCACAGGAGAGGAAGGCACTGGATGAAATGGACTGACATAGTAATTGTGATGAGGACAGGTGTTAACAGAGAGAGTAAGATTGGCTTAGAATAGGGCACTGTTTAAAGCTGTTGTGCATAGGGTCACTATGAGTTGTAGTTGACTCAAAGGTACATGACAGCAGCAGTGGCTTAGAGGGTAAGGAGCTGTGCTGGTAATCCAAAGGCATGTGATTCGAATCCACCGACTGCTCCATAGGAAAAAGATGGCAGTCTCCTCCCATGAGGTTCACAGCCTCTTAAAACCTGCTGGAACTCAGGAACAATGATTTTGTAAATTACTACCTAACTTGGGAGGGATTGGAGAGCATTATACTGAGTGAACTAACTCAGTCCCATAAGGACAAATACTATATAAAACCATTATTGTAGAATGAGTGTGAGGATTCAAGGAAGAAGAAGGGAGGAAGCAGAGGGTTGATGGTGTTGTGTGTTTGTTAATCATAGTGTCACACAATTTGGTAGGTAGGTGGGGGTGGAAGAAATGGGAAGGATCTTGTGTGAAAAACACTGTATTTGAATCTTGTAAATAAATCATTATTTTAAAAATAAAAAAAACCCTGTTGGAGGGTTATATTTGAGTTGACTCTGACTCAGCAGCACAGAACAATGTCATCATGTGTAAAGCAGTATTCTAAACACCTACTACATCATCTTATTTAATACACCTTTCCGTGAGATGTTGGTGGTGTTCTTCCATTTTGTGGGTAGAGGGTGAAAAGGTTTTGAAGAGAGACAGCAATGATGGTTGCATAGGAGTCCTTTGTGAAACTAATGCTTAATGGGGAAAAAAACCCCTAAAAGCCCAGCAATAAACAAACATTTTTTATTGATGTTACTTAAATCACTTTCCCTTTTCATCGTTCCCCCACCTGAAATAAAAGGGAAAAAACCTCTCAGAATCCATTGTTAGCTTCTCCAAGAAGAGATACATGTCTTTGGCAATTTAAGTTCTCCTTTTCTACATTTGACCGAAATAAAAGGCACAGTATGAAAGAGAGAAAGCTTGAAGAGATCCTACTAGAACTTATTAACTCAGAGAGGGTACTTTCAGGATCTAGAGGCGTTAGTGGCTCCTAGTTGTTAAAATGAGAATGACAAAAATAAGGCAGCCTATGTCATGGGTTTGCAGCCACTTTCTACTTTTTCTTCCTCTTTTACTCCTAGTACAAAATAATAACTCTCAAAGAGAGTGAGTGTGTAAACAGATTTTAAGTGTTTTTTTTTATTAATTCCTTTAACTTGTTTGCTATGTACTAATTCCTTTAGATAGCTCTCATACTAGGAACTTTTAAGTGTAGCGCTTACATATGCCTCTCCTTACCTTTTAAGGCATTAAACAAAGCGAGGAGATGAACAAGTTTTTAAAACTATTTTTATTCTGTTCCAGAAAAGAAATTATGATACAAGCCTGATCAGTAAGCACAAATAAATGTGTTAATGTCTTTCTTAGCTGTTGTCTTAAGTTTTGTTTTCCAAGATAGGCCATTTGTAGCTCTCCACATTAATCAGTCTGTTTTCTCACTTACTAGTTGATAGGTACAAGTTAAGTTTTATGTAGCGCCAGTCGTTGCAGGAATTTCAATGCCTTTTTGAGCACTCCTAATGTGTAATATAAACTATGTGAGGAAACTTACCCATCATAGTATATATGAATAGTTTTAACACAGAGCTAGTGTTAAAGAATAGAGCCATGGAGACAGGGAGGAGGATTATTGACATGTGGGATAAACTTTTTAATGACCTGGCTGGTGTAACAGTCACTCATGTGCTTCTTCACCAGTTATTTGGGAACATGAAGAAGAGAGAAAGCATCCAGGAACCTAGATTTGATTGTTATAACCATGAAGTTCCTGACATTGACCTCAGTGATTGTGAATTTCCACATGTAATTGAAATTTATGACTTTCCCCAAGAATTTCGTACTGAAGACCTCCTCCGGATTTTCTGCAGTTATCAGTAAGTATTTGTAAATGATTTGAGGACTTTAGGGAAGGTGAGATGAAGTTTCATAGTGTCTTCTAAAAATATATCTGTTCCTTTTTATTTTGTTTTTATAATCTCTATTGTTGACTTTGGCATGTTGATTGTCTCCTCCAAGCCTAATAGAAATCTTTCTCATCAAACTATTCTTAGTCAAAGTTTCTTTAAAATGCCAAATAGTCTTCATAGGCCCAGTTTTATCATTCAAGAACATCTCATTAGTGACTTTTGAATGTGTCTTCATTGGGCATTTCTCAGTCTCTCATTGCTGTAGAGTGGAAACTGACTTAGCTTATCCTCCATTGGGATTCTAACGCTGTATATCACACAGGAGGAGACTGCTGGCGTCCTTCCCACAGAGCTGGTGTCGCGTTTCAATTAGCAGAATAGTTCCCTGTAGACTGCCTCAAGGGCGTGTACTTCATTTGTATTTATTCTAATTATTGCTTTATTGACTTTGTATTGATTAATAGTTTTATTTTTGAAAATATTATACTCTTTGTATTCTTTGGTGTTTACTTCAGAAATTATAAAATATGTGTCTCACTTTTTAATATTAATATTTTTACCCTATTTTCAAACATTTTAAGGAATTTTATTTTCATTTCTTAGTGTAATTCAGTCAGTGCCATCAAATTGTAATTGACTCATAGCTCATCCTGCAGCAGTTTTTCAGTGACTATAAATCATGCAGAAGGAGATTGCTCTTCTTTCTACTATAAAGCACCTGGGTAGATTTGAACCATGGGCCTGTGGGTTGGCAGCACAACCCTTTTACCCACTAGGTCACCAAAGCTCCAAAAGTGTCAGTACACCCAGAAATTAACTTATAATTTTGCAGCATCTATGAATAAACACTCTGAAGCTCTTTAATTGTTTGTGTACCTAAAGAGTTTGTTCTTATTTTTTTTTTCTTTTCCATTTACAAATTTTAATAGAATCATAACAAATCACACATCTATTCTTAGGTTGAAGTCTAATACCTGTTCAAAATACATTTTTTTTTAATTTTAATGAATGTTTACAGAGACTTTGGATTTCCGTTCATTCATTGTTGTATACTTCCCCCCTGCCCACAAAAAAAAAAAAATAATTCTTCCATTGTTATACAATCCCGCCCACCCGCCAGTCCACTCCACTATGCAACTTTCTTTCTGGTCTCTTGTCATGACAGTAATTTCTTGAATATTAGATCACACTGAAAAAATTTGTTATGGAAACTTAACAGAGTTTGTGTTTTATTTTGTAAGTTAGAAGAAATATAATCCTGACTTAATAAAATCCAAACTCTCTAAGTCACTTTTAACAGTTTTCTCCCAACACCTGCTTGTTAAGAGAAAGACGGCCAGCTGCCTTCCATACAGTTTACAGACTTAGACAACACAGTGAAGGATTGGTCTGACTCACTGACAGTGAGTTGGGTTTGATTACCAGTTACAGCACAGAGAGCTTCTTAACCATTATAATACGGTCAGAGTACATGTTCCACATAAGTTGAAATATTTTCTGTCTTTTATAATTGTCTTGCCCAAACATGATTGACAATAGTTAGAGATTTTGGTTGTTTTGTTTTCGTGTTTTGGCTTTTCCCCCTTTCCTAATGGCTTTATCTTTCTCTCGTCTACATTGCTCCAGCTGGTGGCTTAGTGGTAAGAAACTGCTGCAATCCCAGAGGCAGATTCTTATCTGCTAGCTGCTCTGTGGTAGAAGGATGGGCAATCTGATAACCCATTGGAGGGTCAGTTATGAGATGGTTCCAGCTAAGTGGCACTAACGACAAGAAGTCTCCAAAATGACTCAACTAAATTTTCACAGACACAACTCTGCTTTTTTACATTTGTATGTTTGATTTTATTTAATTAAACTGTGTAATTTAAATATTCAGTAAAACTAACAGAAGTAGATTTGAGAACAACAGCACTAACTCTTAGTATGTGTATAGTTCACGTTATGGGAGCCAGCTGTTATATGTACTACTAGCTCCAAGTTGTACAGTATGCCATGAATGTTGTTGTAACTGACTCATAGCTGACCCTCCAGTGGGTTTTCAGAGGCAATAAGTTGCCTCTTTCTCCCCTGGAGCAGCTGGTGGATTCTGACTGTTTGCCTTTGGGTAACAGCACTGGCTCCTTACCACTGGGCTACCAGAGCTCCCACAAACATTAGTATGTATATTTTACAGATGAACTAGAAAGTACTAGCTTATATAAAGTTTACCTGTGAAGAGTCAGCTGTATAGTTGAACTATATAAGATGAACAAATCTGTCTACTCTGAAGGAAAATATAGAAGTGAGAAGTTTAACTTGAACATAGTAGAGAATTTGCTCCAGAAATAACGATAATACTGAAAGAAAGTTATGTTTTGAGTGCCTGGAGACAAGTTCATATCAAGAAAGAGTATTAGCACTTTGATCCTGATTTTAAAAATTAACCAAATCTGTTGTGTAATACTACAAAACCAAATAAAAAATTCAGTTATCTTTAATTTGTTTGGTTCTTTATCATTTGTGGTATAGGCTCTTACTTTTTCTTAAAGGACTTGGTAGCAAATTTTAGGCAGCTCTGCTATTTTTGTGCAAAAGCAATACTATGTGAACAGATGGGTATGGCTATATGCTCTGGTGGCCTGTGAGTAGGAGTTGTGTTGCCAATCCAAAGATGGCACCTTTCTGGTAGTTCAAATTCACCACTGGCTGCAGAAGAGAAAGATGGGCCATGTCCTTCTATGCAGCTTACCAGCCTCAGAAAACCCTCTGAAGAGTCAGCTGTGAATGGGGTTCCAGCTTGACAGCAGTGAGTAGAAGTAATATTAAAATTAAAAGGTCACCATAGTTTTTATATAAAGCTCTGTTGTTGTTGTTATTGGTAGGTACTGTTGAGTCATGTACATCTCATAGGAAGTCTATGAACAGCAAGAGACCTGAACCCTATCCTGTCCTTTGCCATCCTCTTCATCTCTGATCTACTTGAGCCCATTGCTGCAGTAACTACATCATTCCATCTTGTTGGGAGTCTTCTTGGGAGTTTTTCTGGCCCTAAACCTTTTTGACCATGAGATTCCTTTTCAAGGAGAATGGGCAAAACCAGTTAGCAGCCACGTAGTTCACTTTAATTTCTTGGGAGAGCTATTATTTCTATAAAGGAAAGAAGGGGGAGAATGGATCCTGTGGGACAGCCATAGATTTTATAATGCACATTAGTCAATCTAACCCATTAGAATTATCTTAACTTTCATTTTAGACCCTGTTGCATATAAAATTCATAATAGATTTATAAAAGCATTTTTTTTCTATATTTTATTAATTTTCATAAACATTTACAGAGATTTTGGGTTTCCATTCATTCATTGTTGCACTATTCTCTCTACCCTCCTCCCAGTTTGTTCTTGTCCAAATGCCACAGTGCTTGTCAAAGCCAATTCTGATTAATCTTCGTCAGTGTGTCCTTTGCCATTCCCTATCACTCCTCCCTGAGAGGGACTTCACCCTGAGTCATAAGGAAAAGGGGATGGCGTATTCTCTTAGCTACTTCCTGCTGAAAAGGGACGCTGTGGGTTTCAGGGTGAAGATCTTCTCTCACTACTCTAAAGGGCCCCTTTGGCAGTAGGAAACACATAGACTATTATGGAGATTGATTTTGGAATTTAAATGCACTCTTATTGATTGGGGGGGGAGCATTTATATTGGGATTACATTTCAACTCAAATTCTTGACCTACTGTCATCAACAGTTTCCATGCCTAGTGACCCTACACTGGGTTTTTGAAGCTATAAATCTTTGAGAGTGCCCATCTTTCTCCTGTGGAATGTGGCTGGTGGATTCTAACTGACAACCTTTTGATAAGTAGATCAACATGGTGCACCCTTTGCTATCCAGACTCCCTGGAACTACCATAGATGTTATAGTTGCTGTTATGTGCCTTCGAGTCACCTGCGACTCATAGTGGCCCTATGTTCAGTAGCCCTAAACCCTGCTCTATCCCTTGCCAATCTTTGTCTCTTTACCCCAGTGACTGAATCAATCCATCTCATCAAGAGTCTTCATCTCCTGCATTGTCCTCCACCCTCCCAAGCATGACTGATTCCGCCTTATAACATGTCCAAAGTATGTCAGACGAAGCCCCAGAATCCTTACTTCCAAGGAGCAGTCTGGCTTCACCCTCTCCAGGACGAACTTGTTTATTCTCCTAGCAGTCCATGGTATATTCAGTACTCTTCTCCAACACCACAGCTCAAAGGCATCAACTCTCCTATCATCCCTAGTCATTGATGCATAGCAAGTAATTGCAAAGACTGTGGCCTATATTAAGTGCACCTTAGTCTCCAGACTGACATCATTGCTCGTCAGTACTTTGGAGAGGTCTCTGACAGCAGACTTTCTCAATGCAATTTGTCTTTTAATTTCCTAGCTGCTAGTACCAAGAGTGTTGATTATAGAGCAAAGCATATTGAAGCTGTCAATAATCTCAATCTTGTCACTATCTGTCATGATGCTGCCCATCAGCCTAGTGGTGAGAATCTTTGTTTCTTGATGGTGAGCTTTAGTCCAGATTGAAGGCTGCAGTCCTTGACCTGCAGCAACCACTTCAGGTCCTCCTCAGTTTCAGCAAGCAGGGTTATGTCATTTGCATAACGCAAATTGTTGATGAATGTATCTCCAATCCTAATGCCACACTTCTCATAGAGCCCAGCCTCCCAGATAATCTGTTGCACATTTAGATTGAAAAGATGTGGAGATAGGACACATCCTTGACATACCCCCTCTCCATTTTGAATCATGCATTGTTTCCTTGCTCTGTTCTGAAGACTCCCTCCTGGTCCATGTATAGATTTCGCAGGGATTCCCATTCTTCTCTGAATTAGCCATTTTGTTGTGATCCACACACTCAAATGCCTTTGCATAGTCAATGAAACACAGATAGACATTTCTCTGGTACTCTCTGCTTTACCTTAGATAGTCATTGTTAATAAAGCTCCTTCTTTAAAAAAATAATCATCAGTTTTATTGATCTCTAGAATTTCCTGAAGATTTGTTAATCTTATAAATTATGAACTATTTTCAGCTTTGTTTCATCCTAATTGTACTTTTAAGATTATTTTTAATGTTACTATAAAAAGTAAGCATTTTAAAGAATTACAACATTACAAAGCATAGCAGAGACCATCTAGGTATTTTTCTATCCTTTTTGTTAACTGTCTTCTTGTAGAGATATCTGTGTTGAACATTTTCAAGGCTCTAAACTCTGATCATTTTGTACCATGGCCAGCTTACCCTTACATGCAGGAAATTTTTTAACTAACCACCTTTATTATTTTAACACAGAAATGTTTTAATTCTTTTTCATTGCTGAACATTTTCTTCCCTCTTTTTCCAGCTTTCCCATATTACACCCGTTGTTCCAGATTGTTTTCATGCATATAATGCCTAATCATGTATTCCTTTCAGACAGTTCTTCATCTCGTCTAATGTAGTGTTATGATCTATCCACTCTTTCCCATTCTCCTCCTAACCCCCCGCCATGTGTGTCCTATTTTATAACAGGGTGTTACACAGTGTTTGTCCTTTTTTTGACTAATCTCCTTTCCTCCTCACCCAGAGAAAAATTTTTTTTTCTTGATTGGTAATTAGATGGGGATGATATTTTAGCAGTTAATGGTTTTTAACAATTACTTACTTTTTAAAAAACCATGATTCAGAAGCCCAAAATAAGCCCTGAGAGTCACATATTAGAGTCTGCTTCAAATTAGGAGGGGCCAGTCCTTGGAGGACATCAGGCTTGGAAGGATGGAGGTTCATTTAAAGAGAAGACCCTCAACAAGGTGGATTAACATAATGACTAGAAGAACAGTGGGCTCCAGTGTATCACGGAGGATGAAGAGGATGGCACAGAGTGGGAGTGCCTAACAGCAGCACCTTTATGTTTTAGTCACCATCTTCATGAGTAATCTTGATGAATGTTGCTATTAAGAATAACAACATTCTTGCCTAATATTTGTCTCATTTCTTTTATTCTACAGTTTCAACTTTAGTTTTAAAAAGTTAGTTTTTAAAAAAGTTTCCTGACTTTGCCATAAGTCTTTCTTATTTTCAAAGAATAGATCAGACTGATTATACTTGAATTTTTTCCTCCGTTACTTTCTGTGTAACATCTTTCCCTCTTTGTCCTTGAGTCTACATCTGCGTGGATCCAGATGACCTTCCTTGCCTGTCTCCTGCTCTGATATTCCTCTGCCCCTCCTCTGTGTCTTCTTTCCACCTTTTCTGTTCCCTGACCATAAGAAGATCTCTTGTAAATAGTGCATTAAGTTCTTTACCTCCTCAAGGGACTTGTGAGGATTAATTAGTTGATGTCTATAAAATGGCTGGCAATGTAAAATACTCCCAAGTACTTCTTTATGTTGGTATTACTGCATTTAAAATTAAGTGATTTTTCTGTCCTCCAAGCTGGTTTTTGTGTCGTTATCCCTGCCATTCCACCTGTGCACTTTTTGAGTGTTTCCTGTCTCATCACAAAATGCTTTATGAGCTCTATTGGAGAGATGTTTCACATAAGTAAATTTTACTTTAAGAAATAAAATTGTTTTCTTTTGTTTCAGAAAGAAAGGATTTGATATTAAATGGGTGGATGACACGCATGCCCTAGGAATATTCTCCAGTCCAATTACAGGTATGCACCCAGTGGATTTCAGTGGATATTTTCTTAATATCCATTTTATCTTGTTATTTGACCTTGTTCCCTTCCTGTTCCCCAGGTGGCATTTTATTCAACCAGTGTTAGGTAACTGACAGATTGCATTTTTTGGACTCATTGTACTTTGGTTTCCACAAGCTTCTTCCCTCTCTTTCACGTTGATCCAATGGTATTTGGAGGGATACTCGACTCCTTTCTAGGGTATTTGCACTTATAACTGTGAGCTATTTACTACATAAAGAGAATAAGAGATTTAAGAACCCAGTGAGGCTAAGTTTTTTCCCTTTCAAATGAATGAATTTGAAATAGGCCTTTTGCCTGTACAGTAAGAGAATGTAGTTATCTCTCTTTGAATATATGATTATTGGGCCTTTTCACATATATCATTGGGCTTCATCATAGAAGTAATGTAGAAGGATTCAAAGAAATTAGAGATGTTGATTCCTGTTTGAACAATCTGGAATACAAGTCTGCAATCTCTTTCTGAAAAGGACCATTTTAGGCTTTTAGGCTTTGAGGACAATAAGGTCTCCTGTGCCACTAAATTCTGTGACTGTGGCAGGAAAGCAGCCTTTGACAGGATATAGACCAATGAGTGTGGCTCTGGTTCAGTAAAAGTTTCTTTATAAAAGCCAGTGACTGGCTGCGTTTTATCTTAGCAACTTGGTTTGCTAACCTTGGGTCTAAAATAATCACTGCCAAGTTGCCTTTTATGGATTTTCTAAAGTGATCATACTTTTGTTTGCCTTGAAAGCAGACCAAAAGCTCCCTACCTTTTTTAGGAAGAAGTACTCTCTAAGAGATGGCTCTACATTTTCCTTTGCACTGCTCTACTTTGATGTCTGCTACTTCCACATGTTCATTTCTCTCTGCAGCTCGTGATGCTCTGAGTAATAAACATCCGATGGTGAAGACCCGCCCTTTGTCACAGGCCACTAGAGCAGCCAAGGCCAAAGCCAGAGCTTATGCTGGTGAGCTAGTAATCCCTGGGCTTTTTTCCTTGTTGATGATGATGTTATCTTTCCCACAGTTGCAGCATCCAAAGTTCTAGAGACTTACTACTTTTAGTTGTATAAGTAAAGAAAGTATGTTTCTAACCAAAGGCAAAAAGCCATCTTTGAAATGGTGTCTGAGCAGCCACTTAAAGTGGGAGATACTAGCTGCCTGCAATGTAGGAACCAGTTTCTGATGGTATTTCAACCAAGTTTACCTTTTCCCCTCATATCTTTGATGAATGCTTGTTATAGGTGGAATTATATTGAGCTGTGTGATAGTCACTGTAAGAAACTGTGTTAATGCAGATAATGAAGCCAGGCTTGTATTAATTACTGCTGATGCAGCCCTCGTTAGTCTATTTTGTATGTTAATTACCGAGTTAAATCACTTGGAGCTAGAATGCTTTCTCTTCCTTACTCCCTCCCGCTGCCTCCTTTTCTCCCGTTCAGAATTCCTCCAGCCAGCAAAGGAGCGTCCTGAGACTTCGGCAGCCTTAGCCAGAAGGTTAGTCATCAGTGCCCTTGGAGTTCGAAGTAAGCAGAGTAAAGCTGAGCGGGAAGCTGAGCTTAAGAAACTGCAAGAAGCCCGAGGTGAGTTAAGGAATTGCCTTCTCTTGTTCGGTCAAAATTCACTATAAGGCAGGCTTGGGGGCTGGGGAAAGTGACTGAAGCCCACCCCATTTTGTCATTTCCATTTTCTGAAAGCCTCTGTTTTCTTGCCACCTGGTCCTCACACTAAGGTATCCTAATCCATGCTTTCTAGGAGATAGATTTGGTCAGCTCATCTTATCTATAAGTTTTTGTATGGTTTTTGCTCCTAATTCTGAAACAAAAGACTTGTGAAGACCTAATATCCTCTTAAAAAGATGCCATTATTTTCTTTTCATTCTTTTTCTTTTTTTAATGTACCAGTTTAGAGTTTACATGTTCAATTGTTCTATTTCTTTTTTTATCCTTCTTTAAATTATTAATAATTTTAATGGAAGTTTACAGAGATTTTGGATTTCCAGTCATTCATAGCTGCACCTTTCTCCCTGCCCACCCCTCCTCCCCAGTTCACTCTTCTCTTTGAAAAGTAAAAGAAAATTCTTTCATTGTTTTACAGTCCCCTTCTTAAGTCTACTCCACTGTGCAGCCTTCATTCTGGACTCCTGTCATGACAATAATACCCAATCATATATCCCCTCTAAACAGTTCTCTCCCTTTCTGCTTCAATGCAGTATACACAGCTTATCCTGTCTTTCTCAGTCTCTCCCCAACCCTGATGTCAGTCCTGATTTACAACAGTGGCACTCTGCAGTATGTGTCCTTTTGTGACTGAGATAACTCACTGAGCATAATGTCCTCCAGGCTCATCCATTTTGTATAATAGTTCATGAGTTCCTTGCTTTTCACAGCAGTATAGTATTCTGTTGTGTGAATATACCACAGCTTCTCTGTCCATTTGTTTGTTTATGGGCACTTGGGTTGTCTACAACTCTTTGCTATTGTGAACAAAGCCTCAAATAAATATGGGTATGCATATATCTGCTTGGGTGGCAGTTATGGTTTCTTTGGGTTTCTGTTATTACGGTTTCTATTCCCAGTAGTGGAATTGCTGGATCAAATGGTATTTCTATTTTTACCTTTTTGAGAAAGTGCCATACTGCCTTCCATAGTGATTGCACCATTTTACACTTCTGCCAACAGCGAATAAGGGTTCCAGTTCCTCCCCAACCTCACCATCATTTATTGTTTGCTGTTCTGTTAAATTTTGCTATTCTTTCTGGGGTGAGATGATCTCTCATAGTTGTTTTGATTTGCATCTCTCTTAGAGCTAGGGATTTTAAACATTTCTTCATGTGTTTGTTTGCCATCTGAATGTCGTCTTTTGTGAAGTGTCCATATCCTGTGCCCATTTTTCAGTTGGGTTGTTTATCTTGTGATGGAAGCCATTATTTTCTTTGGTTTTACTGCACCATGATGGCCATGAATCTGTCAAATGGTTTAGATTTTAGTTTGAAGACAGAAAAGCCAACAACTGATAATAATAGATGGAAGTGTTTAGTTTTTTGTTGTGTGTTGGGGTTGTTTGTGGTGGTTTTTGTTTTGACTCCATTAGAGTACATCTAAATTTCACTGTCTTTTCATTATTTATTAGAATCTATCAGTTAGTTCTCAGAAAATATTTCCGCTGAACTACAAGCAGAATTTTTATTTCACCATAGTTTGGAGTTAAAGTTGAGATCTCTCTGTTTTGTAGGCTACTGTATTTCAGGCTTTAAATTCAGTCTTAGCACTTAAGTATTTTTTATGAATCTTCAGACAATCTACTTACCAAAAAAGTGACTTAATTTTTCCATTAAATTAATTGAAGTTTCAAACTCCTTGTTGATAGCTGATCTTACAAGGCCATTAATACTTCTGTCCACTCTGCTTTGGTGATGGCAGGCAGCTCTCAGACTCTCAGCTGTACCATCCAGATAACTAGTGACAGAGTGCGTCATGGCAGGGGCTGAAGTTACAGAGTTGAACCCAGCTAGTGTTTGAAATCTTTATTATTATAATGAGGCTATTTTGATTTTTTTCTTATTATTATAATGAGGCTATTTTGATTTTTTTCTCAATTCAGAAGTCTCTTACAGATTATTCAAAACAGATAATTGCTCAGTTTTTTATAGATTGTAGTTATAGAACTAGATTCTAGAATTATAGAACGTGATGTTCTTAACCTTTAATTAATTTATTTTCTCTGAGAAAAGAAGAATTTCTCTAAAAGATTGAAAAACTCACTGCCATCAAGTTACATTCCAACCCTCCATTGAGTTTCTGAGTCCATATATTGTAAGAGTAGGAGACTGCCTGTCTTTCTCTCACAGAGAAGCAAACTGAATTCAAACCACCAAAGGTGAAGTCTTTTGGTTAGCAGCACCACACCCTAAGGACTAGCCCGCCAAATCAATAGAAGATGGATAATAGTAGTATGTAAAAGGGAAATGTGACTCCGTTCGTAATGCATCATGATTCCTTATGGGAGAGATACCACATGTCTCTCAGAAGATAATGCAGCAACTGGTTTACATGGGCATCATGTAAACCCCTCTTTAAAAACAAAAAACACCAAAGCAACATCAGCCTGCAGCTCCTCTTGCAATATTTGTTTTCAGTGCCCCCCTGTACAATGCTCACTTCAACGATGTTAAGTAAGGAGTCTGAGTTAGAGGGTACTCTGTAAAGGACTTTTTAAAAGAAGGCCTCTGTTGGTGACCTGCTGTGGTAAGTTCTTCCTACCTAATGGTGCTGAGGTTGTGCAGATTTGGTAGGACACTGACATTATTATGCCTCAGAGCTCACCTATTCTTCATATCTGAGAGAAAGCCTGTGGGAAAATTCCTGCTGTATCTCTTTCTGTACTAAGCAGATACTTTTGTACTTGCCTATATAGAGTCTGACGTTTGTCACATCAAGATTCTATTATGTTGATATTAAATGTAGTACTTGATGTTAGGCAGAACAAATATTTTTGTTCCAGATATTTTCTTCCAGTGCAGTGAGAGATCATCACAGCATAGTAGGCTGCCTGAGTCTGAATCTTTTTTTTTCCTTTTTTTTTTTTCTATAATTGTATTTTATTAATTTTCATAAACATTTACAGAGATTTTGGGTTTCCATTCATTCATTGTTGCACTATTCTCTCTACCCTCCTCCCAGTTTGTTCTTGTCCAAATGCCACAGTGCTTGTCAAAGCCAGTTCTGATTAATCTTCTTTGTCAGTGTGTCCTTTGCCATTCCCTATCACTCCTCCCTGAGAGAGACTTCACCCTGAGTCATAAGGAAAAGGGGATGGCGTATTCTCTTAGCTACTTCCTGCTGAAAAGGGTCGCTGTGGGCTTCAGGGTGAAGATCTTCTCTCACTACTCTAAAGGGCCCCTTTGGCAGTAGGAAACACATAGACTATTATGGAGATTGATTTTGGAATTTAGATGCACTCTTATTGATTGTGGTTGGCCGTACATGTTCATATCCTTGAAGATGTATCATGGGGGTGTTGCAACCTAGAAGACACAAATTTGACTAACAAGTTATAAGTACATGAGTCAAAAATTATGGAAAAGTAAAAGAAAAGATTCTTTCATTGTTTTACAAACCCTCCCCCAGGTCCCCTCCACCATGTAGCCCTCGCTCTAGTCTCCTGTGATGACAGAAATACCTAGTTATATATCTCTTTTAAACAGTTTTCTCCCTCCTCTGTTTCAGTGCAGTATACATTATTGAACCCATCTTACTCAGTCTCTCCCCAACCCCAAGGACAGTCCCATTCTACAACAGTGGCATCATGTAATATTTGTCCTTTTGTGACTGGGATCTTTCACTCAGCATAATGTTCTCCAGAGTCAACCATTTTGAATAATATTGCATGAGTTCCTTGTTTTTTAATGCAGCATAGTATTCCATTGTGCGAATATACCACAGCTTCTCTAGCCATTCGTTTGTTGATGGGCACTTAGGTTGTTTCCAACTCCTTGCTATTGTGAACAAAGCTGCAATAAACATGGGTGTGCACATATCTGCTTGGATATCAGCTATGGTCTCTTCAGGGTATATTCCCAGTAGTGGAATTGCTGGGTCAAATGGTATCTCTATTTGCAACTTTTTGAGAAAGCGCCATACTGCTTTCCACAGGGGTTGCACCATTTTACACTCCCACCAACAGTGAATCAGGGTTCCAGTTTCTCCACAACCTCGCCAGCATTTGTTGCTTGCTGTTCTGTTAAATTTTGCTATTTTGACTGGGGTGAAATGATATCTCATAGTTGTTTTAATTTGCATCTCTCTTAGGGCTAGGGATTTTGAGCATTTCTTCATGTGCTTGTTAGCCATCTGAATGTCGTCTTCGGTGAAGTGCCTGTTCATATCCTGTGCCCATTTTTCTATTGGATTATTTACCTTTATCTTGTTGTGGTGCTGAGTCTGAATCTTAACACCAGCATTTACTGGCTTTGAGATTTAAGACAGAGTGCTTAGTCTATCCAGACTCTGTTTCCTCATCTATAGATAGAAATCAAGTGAGATCATTCACAAAAGATACTTAATCATCTTCAGAACCATAGGAATTTTGTTCTTTTGTTTTCTAAAGGCCTGTGATAAGTATGTGATAAATATTAGCTACTTACATTTTTATTATTAGTTGTTATCATTAAGTAACCTTACAGGGTAAGCCCAGCACTGATTCTAGTGCATTATTTTTGTTACTACTCTTTAAATTTTAAAATCCCTATACTCTGCCGGTTGAATTTAGTGTTCACTGAATACCTACCTGCTTAGTGCAAACCATTGTCCGTATTATGAGAATAGTTGTCTTTCTTATGTACCATTGAATTGAAATCTACTCCAGCAGGTTCTCACAGAAAGAGAGAAAATTGCCTATCTTTTTCCCTCAGAGAAGCTAGGGGATATGAACAGGTTGCCTTTGAGTTGGCCGCACCATTCCTTAACCACTAGACCACCAGAGCTCCCTATTAGGAGAATAAAGAGTTCAAGATTTTGTCTTCTCTTTAAGACTTCCTACCTTGAGAAAAGAAGAACGGTCTCCCCCTTATTTCTAAAGGATT